TTATCACTTCTAAATCAAGTTTTAAATTTTGGGATAGTTATTGACTAAGATATATGCATTTTCCGAAACGTTCGTCATATATATATATATATATATATATATATATATATATATATATATATATATATATATATATATGTATATATATATATATATATATATATATATATATATATATATATATATATATATATATATATATTTGCTGTTAGTTAAAATAACAAAAGGAAATTACAACTACATAAAAACCTGGCAGGAGCAAGAAGAAGACAGATTGTCTTATCGCCGAGCCCCCGTTACATTGGTGTTTTGTAAACGTTTTAAATATTTACATGCGAAATAATCAATAAAATAGTATATACACAAAAAAAAACTTTCAAAATGAAAAATAGACATTTTTTAACAACAATATTTCAGCGGAATAATTGAAGTAATAAAATGAAACAAAAGATAGATAACCAAGAAGTTATCAATCTACAAAAAATTGCGATGTGTTTTATTATAAATAATGAAATATTACTAAATATTTATTACTAATTATTTAATATCAACAAAAGTACAACAGAAACAAACAAAACTAAAGAAATGTAGTAAAAAAGATAAAAAAATGTAGTAAAAAAGTTAAAGAAATTTAGTAAAAAAGTTAAAGAAATTTAGTAAAAAAGTGAAAGATATGTAGTAGAAAATAAGTTAGAAAAATGTAGTGCAGATTTAAAATAATTTTTTGATTCAAACAATTAAATTATTTTCAAAATATGTATTTGAAACTTAATATATCGAAATATAACCATGTTAAGTAAATGCCGTTTTGAATCAGCCTAAAAGCTTTCTATTGTGAAGCTTAGGACGAATTCTAGTTTATTATAAAAAATGCGAAGAAAATTTTTCCAAACAAAGGTCCACGATATTGAGTTTTGTAAGAACTTATTTTAAGATGGGTTATGGGAGTAACAAAGTTATTTTTTTAAATTTAGTTGGATATTTATGAGAAACATCTTGCCCCGAATTCCCGTATGACAAGTTCATGTGATCTTCTAGAAACCCTGCCGGTTATATATTCTATGTAAATTTACCATAAACATATTCTAGCAAATAGAAAATAAAAAAACTCTTTTACCGCAAACACTCTTTGACTAAAAATTTTAAAGTCCCTCGTACATTTTGTCTTTCTTTTAAATAATCCTTTATTTTGCTTTCAAAGCAAATTAAAATTCAACGTAATTCTTCAGGAATTACGCTAAAAACCCAACTATTAAAAAACTAATTGTAAAGCGAATATTTTTTAATTTCACAACCAAAAGTAAAGGTAGCCAAAGCAAAAAAACACACTCTTGTTAAAAATCAAAAAGGCTAACTAACCAAGGCAAGAAGGCAACTTGACTAAACGAATCTAGTTTATTGAAGGATAGCGCATGTATATATTGCTTTGATTTTATATAAAAACGTTTGTCTAAGCCTGTGCTTTTCCTAATATACGGAAGTCCTTTTGTTTTAAAATCTGAAAACTATGACTCAACTGGAGTTTCTGATGTACTCTTAAAAACTGTTAAAAAGGCAGGACATAATTAGCTCCTTATTTTCTTAAAGAGAAATATGCTTCTTAGTGACATCCAATTCAGTTTTTTATGCATCGTGCGATTAAGTCATTTTTAAATGCTTTCAAGTATAGCAAAAACTATTTACGATATCAATTAAAAATTGATATCGTAAATAGTTTTTGTTACACTTGGAAGAGGTATCAACTTATATACGATAAAATGAAATATACCAGTTTATTCGCCTTTTAAATAAGAAAGTAACCTTTGACATCATCATTTTCCAATTTAATTACTGTTCTGTTAAACAATTATTTTTAGATCACATACCTCGACGTTAGAATTATCTTGTTCTATGCTTGTTGATATGCTCTTTTCCTTTTTTGTATTGTATTATTGATGTTAACATTTGTTAGGCCTCTTCCAAAATAGAGACTTTTTACCCCATCTCAAAAAGACTTTGTGTCAATTTAAAATAACATTTTTTGAATATTTTTGTTATAATTAAAGATTTTGGCACATACGCTAAAATCATTGAAATCATTTGGTCGTATTTGAATAATGCAAAATGGCTTTTTTTTATTTGTCCCCTCTTTAATAACCATGTCAAACTAATTGGTGAATAAAATTAATTTGCCTTTATAATTTGTTCAATCTGACTTCGTCCACTAATGTTTCGTTGTGATTTTTTCCACTTTAAGATTACTTTTCTAAAAATCCAACACCGCAAAAGTCCAACCGCAAACTAATTATGTGAAATCATATTCTTCAACTATTTTGTCAAATAATATTCTAAAAGCTCTCGGGCACGTTAAAAGTCTAAATGCTCTCTCTCGGGTACTCTCGGGTACGTTATAACATTTTGCAGATTAAATATGACTAGAGAAATATCCCAACTTTTATCTTAATTTTTTTCCTCCCTAATAAATTTTTTTTTTTTTAATTTTTATTTAGGTGCCCCAAGAAGTCTTTACGGTCTTATCAGAGAGCACCGCAGATGAGCATTTAATTGGAAGGTTCAAATTGGATTCTAAATACTCCTTGAACGTTTTAGCTTGACAGTTATGCAAACTGACTCAATAAAATGAGTTGATTTGCTTTCTGACCATGTCTTTTTGCTCTTCTAAAACAGCACTGAGTTTCTTTTTCCTTCGATCATTTAGGTTTAGGGGGATTTGTTTTTACATTCATATTAGAATGCACATTATTTAAAGATTTTTGTGAAAAGCTAAGAATGTCTAAATAAAATGTCTTGCACATTCGTACTTTGTCTTTCAACTCTCTTTCAACCCTCTTTCAACTATATAACTTTGAAACACGAACCTTGACGAACTTTTTTGGCAACATATCTACCTTTCGACCGATAATGATAATGTTGGTCTGGCAATAGCGAAAAGTCTTTTGTGAGAAAGTTTTATCATCAATTATGCTCAAGTTTTCTTCATCCATTGATGAAGAAATGAAAACAACGAATTGTTTTCATTTCTTCATCAATGGATTGCTTTAGAGTTTTCTTTTATATGATATGCATTGTTTATATACATTGTTTATATCTTATTACTTAATCCTAAATTAAAAAAAAAAACTTTTTATGTTAAAGCTTAGTTGCATGTAATTTTTTTTGCAAGACTTGTCTGCGACTGACATGGGTTTACCTTTATGGAGATGTTGATAGATTTTGCTTTATATATATTTTTTAAACATCATCTTTTTTTCCACATCCATTATCTTTTTCAATATATTGAGTCTTTTTATATCACCGCAAAATAAATCCATCTAAGGATCGAGAGACAAATGCAAAATAAATCCACCTAAGGATCGAAAGGTCAAAATGTCAACTTGTGACAATGAAGGATCTTAAAGAAAATATTTTTTAAAGAAAATTTTTTTTTCTATTTAACTTTTGTTTATTCATTTAAATCCAATAATAATGATAACCAATACTTATTTCCATTACCGTGAACCTTATGATTCTACTCTAGACACTGCGTCACGGCTGTCTAGGCCATTTATAAAACTTGTATATAATTATTATATTGTTTAGTTATTTTAAAGGCCATGATTTTTTTTATAGTTTAATTAACGTCTCCGTGTTAACCCAGCTTTTCTTGAAACGTTAAATAAACGTTGCAAAGTTTCTGCGTAAAAAAAATTCGAATCAGTAAAAAATCTTTTTTCTCACCGAAAGTTTTATTTCACGAAGAAAATACTTTTTAATAAATTTTTTCGATTATGGGAGAAGTAGCAACACTAATTAAAGAAAATATGTTTTCATTTTTTTAAGAAATAGCAACTCTAACGTGGTGTAAATAAGCACCTTTTTTTGTATGTATATATATATATATATATATATATATATATATATATTAAAAACATAAGCAATCAAATATAATATAATAAAAAACATAAGAGTGAACCCATTTAGAATTTACTTTTATTTCCTAAAAAAGATTATTGCAGAAACTTTGAGAACGCTTTAGTTGAAAATTCAGTCAAAACGTTATAAAAGTTTCTTATCCTTTATTATCTTAAGTCAGACGCCCTTTGCACTATAACAATTAGTGCAACTCGTTATAAAAAGTACTTATGACGTCTTTTATTAATTTAGGCCAGACGCATAAACGGCCCCTGTCACTATAATAATGACTCCATTTCTTTATAAAAAAAAACTTATGGCGTCTTTTATTATATTAAGCCAGACGCACGGCGGCCCCTGCCACTATAATAATGAGTAAAATTTGTACAATACATGCTCAAAATATGAATTAAAAAGAACAAATATTTGTCCCTATATAATGGCAAGTGATGAGCAGGTAATCCAACAAATCGATTTAAAATTTACATAACAAAATTTCATTCAAACTTTATATCACTTTAAATCAACCTCCCTAATTTACTTTTGTTTTTATACTGTAATACAATGTAAATTTTAAATACAATAAAAGTTTATATATTTAATGTTAAACATATAAATATACTGTATATTTATATGTTTAACATTAAATATATAAACTTTTATTGTATTTAGAGAGTTTGCCCGCCCCCTCCCTTCTTGGATATTTTGGAAAGATTTTTTTGTATATTATATAGAAAAAAAAATCTTTCTAAAATATTCAAGAAGGAAGAGGGCGGGCAAACTCTCTCATTGTCCCAACGGATCCGCCCTTGGAATAACTTGTAGTAAAAAGACACTTAAAAAGTTAGAAGTCTGCTCAAACTTCAGTTTTTTCAATTTAATTTGAGCAATCAAAATAACATATAAATACCTATTTTTAGAAAAAGTTCGTTTAAAAAAAAAGTGCGGCGTATCGCATGGGGACCTTTGTGAATTGCAAATAGCAAGGCAGTAGAACCTAAACTTTTTTCGCAATAATAGATTTTAAGACTATGGTTATTTTATTTTAAAAAAAATAAGTTATAGTGCATTTATTTAGAAGTGTAATAATTATATATTCCTTAAAATAACTAAAATAGTTTATTGTGTTTAAAAAACACTCTAAACTCTTTGCTAATATACATTAATTAAAATAACAACAATCAACATAAAACACTTAAAACTTTGTGTGAACACATCAACCAAAACGAAGGGTTAGTTGCAACAAAATGTACGTATCCATAGCAACAAACTCCAGTCAAAATAATAGTCAAAATATTGGACTTTATAAATTTCAATCGAGGTCATAGCTTGAAAATATCAAGTTATACTTATGGTCTTAAGAAATCTACAAAAAATACCCAGCAGAGTTGTATGTTTCTCTCTAATTACGATTCCGAAGTAGTCTGTCCAAAGTGTCAAAAAATTGCATAGTCTTTATTGTTTAAGATTTTTATACTATTTTCTTTTCCAATAGTTTGTGATAAAACTTATGATATTTAATTGTTTCTTTGTTTAAAGATAACGTTAAATAGACAACCAGCATTTTTAGCAATTGCTGTATTAAAACTGTAATAAAATTAAAGAAAAATTTAATATTAAAATTTTTTTGTTTACAACAATTAAGGCTCTACACGCTATTTCGAATAAAGGTTGTCAAGGGTACGTAGGTCTGCATTAAATGATCCACAAGATTTTTTGAATAAAGGTTGTTTAGAGTAATTGAGTCTGCATCAAATAATCTACAGGCTTTCTTGAATAAAGGTTGTTTAGGGTACTTGCATTTGCATCAAATGATCTACAAATTTTTATTTGAAATCTTTGAAAATGTTTTTTTGTTCATAAACCTTCGATTTTGACCCACTGTATACATATTATAGATAAAATAATTAAAATGGTTAACAATTATTATTAGTCTCATTATTTTTTAATTAAACGATTAAAAAAAATAACAATAATAATTCCAATATTAGAATATTTTTGTAGCTTATCTTTTCTTAAACACTTTTTTTAAATTATTTTTCAAAATGTTTCTAAATTCTCTGTTCATTATTGCATAAATAAAAAAGTCCATCATTCCATTAAAATATGCAAAAAACATTGCACAGAAACTAAATACTTGTGTGGCTTTTTTATGAAATAATCCTTCGTAGTACAACAAAATGCAGTAAGGCATAAAGCAGAGTAAAAAACAACCGAATACTGTCATTAGCATAAATGTCAAGCGAAGATCTTGCGTTCTGCTTATAGATTGAATTCGTTCAGCGGATAAACTTAAACGTTTACGAGAGATACTAGTAAATCGAAGAACTTTATAATAACAAAATCCTACAATAACCAACGGAATAGAAAATGAAAGAAACTGAAGGAATAGCAGATAACTTAAACTGTATTCCCAAACAACCATACAATGTCCACGGTATTTATTGTAATCTATCTTTCCCCAACCTAATACAGACGGTAAGCAAATTAGTGTAACAATTATATAGTTTGCAATCATAAAAAATGGCAGCTTTACGGTGGAAAATATTGCATCGTGAAGCTTCGTTTTTACAATCAGTAAATAACGATACACTGCTATTAAACATAAGTTAAAATTCGAGAATAAAAAAGACATAACAACAAGAACTCCATGTAGCTGACAAAAAATATCGACCGTTAACGGGCCGTTTTTTAAATATAAATTTATGGATTGAATTGGTATTCCAATCAGAGCAATAAAAATATCAGATACTGCTAGGTTAATTAAAAGTTGATTACTTCTTGTTTTTAGGAGTTTATTGGTTGAAAAAATTAAAATGATAGTAAGATTAGTAACGAGTGAAACCACGCCTACAAAACTGTACAATCCAATTTGCAAAAAAGGCCCCATTGTATATCCACTAATAGTAGTGTTTTTATTTACAATATCCAATAAAACTAGTGCGGTTATGTTATTATTTTCCATCTTTGTTTCTACCTAAAAAAAAAATATATAAAAAATCTTATATGCCATTGAGAGGTGTATAAAGTTCATCGTACATCTTCGAGCGAAAAAATAACGTCTTTGGGATGTCTCACGGATGTTCTACAATTGTGTAAAACCCATAAGATGTCATAAGGACGTTTAAAGAAAGACTGTAAGCTTAATTAATTGTCAAGTTAATTTTCATCAAGTTAATTTTCATTTCAAGTTAATTGTCATTAAGGTGTTGTTAATTATTTTGCTTTATTTTGTGTATTGTGTTTTATTGCACTTTGTGTCGCTTTAATGTTATATAAAATTGCAACAGTATTATCTTTCTTTCTATCGAACAAAAAGAAATTAAAAAATTAAAATTAAAATTGTTTTCTTTTCATTTTGTCTTTACGGTCCATTTGTCTCTTTAATATTTATTACAGGAAATTTGTCTCAACAACATCTTAGGTACATTTGTCTCTATAATATCTATTTAAGTCATTACTTCTAAAAAATTAAAATTTCAAAAACTAATTTTAATGAAGTGATCCAAACGCTCAAAATTAAAATAAAGAATCAAGGCTGAGAGAACAAAATATAAAATGAAAATACTCAAGAAAAGTTTTATGATTTCAACTTTTTGTTCAAATGTTAGACTTGCTAAAGCATTATTTCTACGGTTATATAAAATAAAATATATAGTAAACAATATTTTTTTTTATTTACTTAAAAAAAATACAAAAATACAAAAATAAAATAACAGTTTAAATAAAAAATAATAAATTTGATTAACAATTTAACACGTCTTGCTTTATCAAAAATGTCGGTTGACGTACAACTGTTAAAAAGTTTTGTTTGAATAAATTGTTTTCGGTATATCAAAACCTAAAGAAAAAAAGTAAGACATATTCAACTTGAAAAACATATACTTTTATTGTTTAACTGTAATAGTTTATTGTGTCTTTCATTTTTATTGTGTCTATCGTGTTTTATTTGTAATAGTGTTTGTCATGTTTTGCAAACAAAGTAAACATGTTATTTTGTGTGCTTGTGTGTGCATGAGTTTGTGAATGTGTGAATAATATAATTTTGTAAACTTATATTGTTTAATAACTGTATTAAAAATTTCAAAAAAAAAAAAAAAAAAAAAAAGAAAAAACTGAAAAAAGTAATATATAAAAAAAAAAGTTAAAGATAATTAAAGATAAAACTAAAAAGCTAAGGAAAAATTGAAAAAGCAATTTAAAAACATCATGTATTAATAGAAAGATTAGTGCAACTTGAGACACCTAAATATATTGCAGCAGTTTTTATTTTTGATTTTAAACTGTTTATTTTGTATTAGAGATTTTAGATATTCATCTTAACCTACGTTGGCTCCTGCAATCTTGATGATCTATTAAGTACATTTTTAGAAAAGTATAATCTAACTGTATTTGAAATAATAAAGATGCATAGCAGATGTTAAAGTTCATCCCTTTCCCATTTCATCAAATAAAAAGTATTTTAGGCGTTTCTAAATTAATACAAATGATAATAATAACAATACATTTAAATGCAAACATTTTTAATGATTCATTTTAGTAGTAGTAAAATAATTTTATCATAGTTTTTAACAGCAGGTTGGGTTATTTTAATAATTAATTCTAATTTTATTATAAAGAGTTGTTTGTTTTGCCTAATGGCTGTTTTCTTTCATTTTTAATATAATTATGTATAAACGACATATATCAGTTGGTTTTTAAATAGTTTTTACATTCTGGTAAGCACAAAACATAGTAGTTTGATGAATATAACTTGATATGAATTATTTCAGGAAAATATTTTCTAAATACTAATTCCAATTAATTAGATAAATTTGTCACTATAACTACGAAATTCGAACAAGATTTTTGCAAAAAGAAAAACTAATATAACTTATTTTGTTTTTATTTATTATTACAATGTTTAAAAATTATTGGAAGAAAATTTTATCAGGCCTCTTCGATCTGCTTAGCAAAATATCATTCTCTTCTCCCCAACCCTCCTACCTATAAAAATTGATTAAAATTTTAATTAATTAGATTACAAATGTTTTATAATTTTTTGAAATTTTACTTCATTTTTGAATATATGTAGACCTCTTGGGAAAAAATATTAAAAACATTCAAAAAGTTTTTAGAAAATATTTATCGATCATTTATGAAAATCTTTATTTAAACCAAAAAACACTATAATCAGTAAAATAAAAGTTACGGTTTAATTTTTTTATTTATTTTAAGTTTAACCAAACGTAAAATTTTTATAATTTGTACATATAATTTTTCATTACTTTGTTTGGTATAAAAACGTTTGATCAATAAATACTTTCTCTAAACTTTTTAAATGTGATTATGATGCTTTTTCCGTGTGGTCATCATAAGGTAATACAATGATGTCCTTAATTATGCAATGATGTGCTTAATTATGTGGTACTTGTTTAGTTTTTTCCCTCCACAATTTTTACACATCATACACAAGTAAAATTATTTCACCACATACATTAAAATATACAATTATGTACTATAAAAACTGCAAGCCTAGCATTATATATGGTAAAGGTAATTCTGGGTCGGCAACTCCACACGCAAATATTTTTTTTTATAAAAAGTTCCCTATTTTTATATTAAAAATATTTTTTTTACTAAAGTTTCTAATATCAAAATAAAGGTTAATTAAATTGCATTTTAATGTTTATAATGAAATATAGTCTTTTTGCTACAAGTTAAAGTGCTATGATCCAACATTAGAGGTAAAATGGCGCCAGGTGTTTTAAAAAAAACAAACCCTTTAGACTTAATATCTATAATATTGCTTTAAAATGAGTCATCATACCAGTTTTTAAAATCATTCACAGTGTGACAACAAAAAGTTATTTTTAAAAGCATACATTATTTAATAACAAAAGGATTTTAAATGAATAAAAACATAAAAAAATAATGCGAGTTTTCCTTTTTTTGTCATGTAGTTTTACGAAATTAAATTAGAATTTTTTTTTTGATTCATTTTTTTAAAGTATACAATAGTACACATAATGCATCAGAACCACCTCCCTTCTCAATACTTTGCCCAACCTACTATATATGTATTGATTAACTTTTTCGTTTTATTTAAAGACCTTTTTAACTTAACTTTTTCTAAACTTTTATTTCAAAAATTAAACCTTAAAGATAAGTAAAGATAGGGACGGTTGACCTACCTTAACTTTTCTTTTAAGTTTGATTTTCAAAATAAAATTTTGAATATTACATACAGATACTTTGAAACTAGCGTTTAAATTTTTTAACTTATTTAGGAATTTTTAGCTTATTTTTAGGTGCAATTTTTAGGAATTTCGGTCAAATTTTTTTTATCCAAATATAACGACGCTAAATTTTTTTCGAGAAAATTTCTTAAATTTTGAAGGATTTAGTGGTACTGTGTACATCACATTAACCAAATTTTCTCTCCGAAAACTCGTATGTACCAGAATTATATGTTCTATCAGATAATACTATTTGGTGCCACCAAATAGTATTATTCATATCATCATTTCATACCATCTTCCTCTTTTTTTTGATCAAAAAATTTTTTATTGCACGTCTAGTTTTTCTCTGTTTTTTTTTTTTATTATATTATATATTAATATTTTTACTACTGGTTTTATTGATCCGAGTATTGTTTTCTATTGTTGCATAGCAACAAGTATAGAGCAACGAGTATTGTTTTTCTTTGTTGCATAGCTGATAAAATACCTATTAATTAAAAACTTTCGAAATTATAGTATTCAATATTTTTGTATTCAATCTTGTTTTATTTTCATTTACTGACTTAGTACAAGTATATATAAAATCAAAAACAAAAAAGCTGTTAAATATATTACTTCGATGGATAAATAATATGGGAAGGACATTAACAACATAATCATTATCATCCTCTGGATGTCAGTATTAGTGCTAATACTATAGCTTGTAGATAACAGAATGCCATAAAATAAAGTAAACAAAGTGGTGAATGCATCTTGTAAATTAAATTTAGGTCAAAAACTAGTTTTCTAAGGTCAACAGTCATTAAACTATTCGATAAAAAAGTCAATATCTTCACCATCGAACATGTAATTCATCACAAATATGATATTTTAAAATCAGCAATGTTTGAATTAGGTAACGAAATAACAACAACAACAAAAATAACTTTTAATAAATTTTTTGTTTTTAATAAGGTTGAGCCACCTAAAATGAAAAAAGTCACGTAACAAGAACGTTTTAGATTTAAACGAAAGTAAAAAAATGTGATTTGTTGTATCCAAAACACAAAATAGTTTCAATATTATCCATACTGTTTCCATCGAAACAAAATTATAACATCATTATAGCATCATTTTTCCCCACAAAATATGGAAACTTACAATAATAAGTTATAAATTTACATAAAGAAGGTTAGGTGTCATTCGTATAGTTAAATGGAGTGACACCTAAAAAGAAAAGAAAATATTAAAGAAAACATTAAGAGAATAAAAAAAAAAGTAATGAAAACTAAAATGAAAACATAAAAAAGAAAAATGAAAGTTAAACAAAGTAAAGCACTAATAAATAGTCATAATAATAATAATAAAATTAACAATAATAATAACAACAACAACAATAATAGCAATAATAATAACAATAATAATAATAATAACAATAATAACAACAATAATCACAAAAATAGTAAAAATATGTATAAAACAATATTACAAATAATAACTATAATATGATAAAAATAATAAAAAAGGGTGAAAATGACCACTTTCAGTAATTTGAGTGTGATATTTATGTGTATCACTTATTTTAATTCAAAAAGTTGAAAAAAATTTTCAAGATTGATTTGGAGAAAAACAAACACAAAAATACCGTTATAAAACGTTTTTAAAAAATCTTGAAATTTTGAACTTTTACTTGAGAAAACCTATTTTGGATATTTGATTGTAAATGATAAAATGTCATAGTTTTTATGAAAGTACGTTGTAAACTGTTTACAC